GGAAAGAGAAATCATCCCTAGGGGGAATGACCATGCTGCAGTCCCGTCTCCTCCATTCCCAGCATAAGTTTCAAGCCACCAGGTCTGGGATTTGAACAACATTCAGCCATGTGGGAGTCCAGCGACATAACTGCTATGCCATCTGCTGGCTCTGGGGAAGACGCTTTAAGGTGTGGAACTTTTGTACCCTGGGAGTTTTTGGGTTCCTGAGATGGCACTTCTGAACTCTGAGAAGTTTGGGTCCTCCAGGGTCTGAGCAGCCTCTTCCCATCACCAAGGGGAATGGTAATCCCTCGCTCTGCTCTTGCACCCTGCTGTTCCAGATGACCCTCTACCTCACGTTCCCTGTGGCCATGTTCTGGATCGCCAATCAGGCCACGTGGTTCGAGGACTATGTCATCGAACGCAAGGTGGGCACGGGAGAGTTTGTAGGTTCATTCCACGGGGTGGGGGAGAGTGTGGGGCTCAAGCATCCCCTGCCCTGGGTATAGGGCTCTGGGGGCTCCTGGCTTGTGTCCCAGCTGTGACTTTGTCCCCACAGAGAGAGCTTTGGCCACCTGAGAAGGAGAGCCAGGTAAGTGACCTACAGTTACTCCCCCAAGACGGGGAGTTGAGTCCCTGCAGCCACGATGGGATCGAGTGAAGCTCTTACTCTCAGCCCTGTCCCTCTGCTCGCAGGGAACTGTGAGCAGAGGGCCATCTGGTGTCCTTATCGCCTGCTCTGTCAAGGACGGAGCTGATCCGTCTGGGCCCCTGGCTGCAGTGTAGACACTGACCTCTGAAGCCATTGTCTGGGGGAGGAGGGAGCAGGGTAGTGGGACAAGGATCCAGGCCCTGAGGTGTGTGCCCTGCCTTCCTCCCCACCCCACCCCCTCGCTCACCCCCCAGCGCCGAGAGTTAGAAGAATTCAAAGAGAGGATTCGGAAGCAGAGGGAGGAGAAGCTCCTCCGCGCTGCCCAGCGGAGCTCCTGAGGCCGCTAGTGCCCGAGTCCTGGCTCCCTGCCCCACCTGAGAAATAACAAGACGCCCAACTCCTTGTCACCGTGGAAGCGTTTTATTTATGGTCGGGCTTTTAGGGGCCAGGTGGGGCCCAGGACCAATCAGGCCCTCACGGGGCTTGCGTCTGGGGCTGGGGGCTGCTGTTACGGCGGAAGTTGAGAGCAGCCGGGTCCTGAGGAGCGAGGAGGGGTTGGGGGCTGAGGGTCCCCGCTCGTTTCTGCACCCCGTCCTGTGGATGAAGAGGCATCAGCCAGAGGGAGAGGTCGAGCACAGTACGGAAGGACGTGCCCTGCGTCCTCCCCATGGGAGTCCCCCCCCAGCATCCCGGGCATTCTTCTCCATTGACCTTGGTCACCTACCATGTAGGGTGGCACTTGGGTGTGAGGCGATGGGTCTTGATCAGAACACAGGCCGCACGAGTGTGTGTGTGACGGGCTTGGGTGTGTGGAGATGAGTGTGATTCGTGGGCCTGAGCCGATGTGCCCTCCTCCCTGGGGTGACTTCCCAGGAAGGGGACCTGTTCTCCCCCTTTGGCCTCCCAAAACCCTCTGATGCTCGCAGAAGCCTCGGCTCTGATGCTAGCGTGACCCCTGGTGGCTCGGGGACCTCTCAGCCGTGCCTGGGCCGTGGTCCTCCCCTCGGAAGCCGGGCAGGTGATGGGCATTGGGGGGGAGGCAGGGTCTGAGAGTACCTGGCAGGGCCTAGCCCAGCACCTACCTTGGGACCCACGGGCTGGAAGCCCGGCAGGGTGCTGACTGTTACACGCTGGTCATCCATGCGACGGCCCTGGGTGCTGGCCAGCATGTCCATGAGACTGTCCATCTCGGGCGTGGGGCCACCCTCTGCGTGGAGTAGAGGTGCATGAGGAGGGATACACACACACGGACTTCGGAGGGTGCAGCCCGGCCGCTGCTTTTAGCTCCTCTCATTCATGGGATGGGCTGTCCACTCCCCGACCCCGTGCCCCAGATCCACGAGCCCCAGCCCTGCAGCACCCGCCCTGCGCCCCTTCCCCACTCATGCCCCAGACAGCAGCCCCACAGCCGCGCTTACTGTCAGCGGTCTGGCCTGGCCCGACTTGCAGCGAGCAGCGCTGTCCCTCCATCCGGTCGCCCTGCACGTGGCTCAGCAGGTTGAAGAAGCCCTCTTCCTCTGGGGAGCCCGCCTGGGGACAGACACACCGGGTCCTGTTGGCTTCTAAGCTTGGGGACCCGTCTGCTCCCCTCCTGGCCCCGGGGCTTGCCCTCCCCTCTCCCTCCGCTCTCACCATGTCCCTCCGATCTGCCCTGCAGAGCTGCTCTGAATGAGGCAGGAGTCGCCTTCCCTGTCCCGGCCCCCATCCCAGGGGTCCCAGCCTGTAGTGTCACTTCACGTGGCACCACCCCCAGGAGAGGCTGCTGGCACCAGCGTCCCATGTCCTAGATCGGAGCCTGACTAGATGAGGGGCCTTGGGCAGGGCACAAGCCAAGGACGCAGAGCCCAGCGGTCTCCCCTCTAAGTACCACACCCCGTCTCATGGGGTCGGCACCAAGACCCCTACCCTCTCTGCCCTAGGACAGGGCCTGGGCGTTCGGACCGCCCTCGTGCCCTCCAGCACCTCCCTGCAGCAGCAACTGGGTCAGGGGTCCCAGGAGACTCACTTGCTAATTAGGTGCCCTACAAATTAATTAGCCTCGTCAGTCATGGCCCAGAGACCTGGATGAGCTGGGGGTGCAGGGCCCTCCTACCTCGGCCGAGGGGGCCGAGCCTTCCTCCTCTGCCTTGTCCTCCTGGTCCGTCATTGTCCCTGGACTCCGTCCACCTATCTGCTGGCCTCTGCCCCGGCCCGGCGCCAGAGAGGGCCTTTTAAATGACCGGGACGTGGGGGGGAGCGGACACCCTCGCCAGCCCCAAATCCCCAGCTCATGCCCCATCTGCTCCCACCCGAGCTTAAGCCCCATAAAGATGATCCAGATAATTGCTTGCCCAGAATTGATGCCGGGGCTGGCGTGCGAGGGTCAGGGGCACGGTGACCTGGGCTTGGGCCTTGCTGGGCTCCGAGGATGCTCGAGTGGGGCGTCCAAGGCCACCACAGTCGGAGGAGCCAGGCCAGCGGGACAGAGGTCTGTTCAGGTGAGACCTGCGGCCCATTGGTGGGAACGAGGCCAGGCGTCCTGACCCCAGCCAGTGCCTGTGGGTCCCGCAGCCTCATCCCGCTTGAAGGGCAGCAGCCGTCTGCAGAGGGCATGGGAAGGGACACTGGCCAAGGACGCCTTATCCTCCCACCTGCCCTCCCGCACCCTGCAGGCTCCTCCACCCTGCAGGCTGCCTGGCCCCAGCTCTGTCTCCTTGCAGTGATCCCAGGTCACCTGGCCACTCTTCCCTCTGCGCACCCTCCCTGGGGTCTCCTGTCCCCCCACCCCACCACTCAATGCCAAGTTGAACCATCTCTTTTGAAGTGCTCTCCCACAGCCCCGCTGCCCTCCATGGGGACGAGTCTTTGCTCTCTCTCCCAGACCTTATGAGGGGGTGTCACTGGAAAGTCCCCAGCCCTCCCGAGGATGTCATTTTCAAAACCAGTGTCTTCTCAGAATAAACGGGTCGTACTGTTCCTGTCCAAGCCTTCTCTGCGTTCACACCTTCTCTGCGGCCCCAAGACCTCCATGCCAAAAAGATCCTGTGCTGGGACCAGCAGGTGGTGTGGTGGCTAAGGTGCTGGACACTTGGCTGACCACAGTTCGAGTCCCGGACCTGACAGCTTGCTTTCTCACTCTTTCTCTCTCTCGGGTCAAATTAAAATAAATGAATGAATAGATGAAATTAAATAAATAATTATATATTTTTAAAAAGATGCTGTGCTCTGGGGCTGGCAGGTGGTGTGGTGATAAAGGGTGCTAGACTCCCACATGGCCGACTGTGGTTCGAGTCCTGGACCTGGCTGCTTGCTTTCTCACTTTCTTTCTATCTCTCTGTCTATCCCTCTGTAGTCAAATTAAAATAAAGTTAAATAATAAGAATAATTATTAAAGAAAAAAAGAACACTGAACCACAGACTACATGGTGTGGAGCAAGAGGAACTTATTATTCAGTTCTGGAGGCCAGGAGCTGGCCATCGAGGTTTCATTGCCCGGGCAACAGTAGGTTTCAGGACCCTTCCCCGCCTCCCCTGGTCTCCAGTGGCTGCGGGCGTTTTCCCCTGGCTGTTGGCAGCACCAACAGCCTCTGACAGTCTGTCTCCCTGTGTGTGTTTTATCTTTTTGTTAATTTGCTATAGGACGTGTGCACTTGCCGGGGTTGGGGGGACCACCCCCGGGGGAGATGGCCACGCTGCAGTCCCTCCTTCATTCCTCTGTAGGGATTTTGGCGCACACGCGCACACGCACACACACGCACGTTTTTCAAGCCAAGTCCGGGACTCGAACCGCACAGTCGGCAGCGTGGGATCCAAGCCCCTTGACCACTGCACCTGCTGGCCCCGCTTTCTTGCTATCTTCATATGGCCCTTTTGTTACTTATTTGTTTTAGAGGTTTGTGCCTTGGAGCGCGTGCACTTGCCAGAGAGAGACAGAGACAATGAGAGAAAAAGTGAGAAGTCACCCACCGCAGGGGGAACGGCCACGCCGTAATCCCTTCACCTCCTCCATTTCCCTCCCAGGATGTTGGGCACACACGCACACGTGCCTAGCGTGATTTTTCAAGCCACTGGGTCTGGGATTTGAACCCGTGGTCAGCTATGTTGGGAGGCCAGAGACAGAACCGCTACGCATCTGCTGGTCCCTGTATGGCCGTTTTATATGGACACAGACACAGGACCAGAGGCCCACCCTACTCCACTGTGACTTCACTGTAAACGATAATATCTGCAGTGACCCTGTTTCCGAATGAGGTCGCAGTCTGGGGTACCGGGGCACCGTGTTCATATCATCCATGGTGAGAGCAGTTCAACCCGCAGCACCGGAAGACCCCAGCAGGAGCCTTCATGGAGTCGGGGGGTGGGGGGGCAGGCCCCATAGACTCTCGTCCTAGAAGGGGGCCTCAGAAGCTGGAGGTGGATGGGCCAGCAGGTGGCATGGTGGTTAGGGGCACTGGACTCTGGACTCCCATACGGCCGACTGTGGTTTAAGTCCTGGACCTGGCGGCTTTCTCTCTCTCTCTCTTTGTCCCTTTCTGGTCAAATTTGAAATAAACAAATACAGTTAAATAATAATAAAAATAATTTTTAAGAGGCCGGCAGGTGGTGTGGTGGATAAGGGCGCTGGATTCCCACATGGCTGACCAT